GAGGAAGACGTCGGACAAGGAGGGTGGTCTTTGACGGGGAAACCGCGGCTCAAACTGAGAGTCGCGTCGCGCCTCAACGGGAGTGCACAATCTCTGATGTAGTCCATGAAATTTTCGTATTAGCGGCACGTTATATAACGCGTGCCTCGCGCTGTCGAGGACGAGGACATAATTACTCGGCCGCGCTGGCGGGAAATACGTCGAATGCCACACCTACCCTCCGCTGAGCGTCCCTTGGTCGCGTCGCGCCGTCGCATCCCTTCTTCAACGGCCGTCACGAAAGCCCGTGCGTTGTCTCTCTCCCTCTCTCCTTCTCTCTCTCTCTCTCTCTCCTTTCCGCATTCTCTCCATCTTCTTTCTCTTTAGCGCGATATACTTCGCCCCCGTCGTGCAATACACAATGACGGGAAAGTCGCGCGATGCGAACTTATACGAACTTGGCAACAGCGACCGCGAGAGCGAGAAAATCAATAAGGCCTTTTAACCCTCTCTCGCGCGGCGGCTTTCGCGTGGCTAAGGAGGAAAGAAGAAAGGTGAAAAAAGAAAATACGCGCGAACGCGCACGACTGAGAACCGACTTTCCTCATTTATCGTTCACGCCGCGATCGCGAGGGGTTTTTCTAATCGAAAGGACGGGGGATTAAGCTGACGCGCGCGAGAAACCGCGAACGAACGATATACTGGTGATCGCGCGCGGCGAACGAAGCTTATTGATTCGTGCTTCGGCCGACGCGCGCGTCCAGCACAAAGGCACAATGGAACTCTCTGCTAACGCGAGTGTCGACGTAATCAAGGCTTTTCGTTATCGGTTAATTGAAATAATGTCCTCCCGAAGTAACATTTCGGTGGGATCCCGTGCGCTGTATGGGTGCGCTTTTACAAATCGACGCGGGTGATCGAAATGTGCGCACGTTACAGCTTCGAAAGGGGAGAAGACGGTTAATATGTGGACCAGTGTTGCGTTTTAGACGAAAAACTTGATGTCAATTGCATTAACAAATGTCAGAACTGCAAACATGTCTCTTATAATGTATTCGTAATTGTTATTACGAATACAAATATAATTATTAGAAAAAAATTAATTGTTCAAAGAGCACAAAATTTTTGTCAAACATATTGCAAGAGATGGAAAATGTGAAATGATAAAAAAATATTAGAAAATTTATCTGTGAGATATCAAGTGAAAAAATATATTAAAAAATTTACATATAAAATACAAAGCTTTTTTGTGAAATATAGAGTATATTTCTATGAAAAAAAATTTATTTCTGTGAATAAACTATATCCCACGAGTAAATTTTCAATATATTTTTTGCCAGTGTAATATGAGATAGTCATGGATATAAAAGGAAAAAAACTTTACTTTCTGTTATTATAAAGTTGTGGATGTTAAAACGATTTTTTATTCTTTTGAATTCTTCTCGATGTAAAAATCACTAGTTGAAAATAAAAACGAGAAAATTTTGTTACAAAAATTACGAGAACTGAGCTTAGTAATTTAGATTGTGTACAAGTGCTTTAGATTTGTGAACAGGAGTTAAACAGAAACATTATTTTCACACCCACTTTTAGGTTTGGTCTACAATATGCGAAGTAAGCCGTAAAGAATTGGCCAGTCATAGTCGATTATTACAAGAATAATCGGCTATGATTGGCCAATTGTTACGCCTTACTCCGCATATTGTAGACCAAGCCTTGTAGGCCTTTTACAATAAGCCATTAGTCATAAGCCGCAAGCAAATTGACCAATCACTATCGATTATTTCCAAAAATAACTTTGGTCAACTTGCTTATGGCTTAATAGCTTATTGTAGAAGATCCATAACAATTTATCGAGCTCTCGATTTTACTGTGTCCGAACTGTTTTGCAATCGTACACCAATGATAGTACTCGAGTAATTTTCACCACAATTGGACATCCGGGTATCCGGCTGGCCGAAAGATATCCGAAAGACTCGACGAGTGTACAGGGAGTGCTCGAGAGAACTCGGACATCACCAGTACCGATGCACAATTGAGAGATAATGTAGCAACGAGGCTACATTATCTGCTCGCAATTGTTCGAGTCGCGAGGTACGCTGAGGCGACATTATCTGAAAGTCACGTGAAATTGCTCATAAAGGGAAGAGTGATTCGTGACAGGGTCGCTGTATCGCATACGTACCGTGCTGATAAACGCCGGGAGATTATGTTAATGCAAACGAAGATACTTAGGGAGGATAGCGGCACGCCGATAATGACAATCGAGTGTCGTTGGCGCGACACTTCCGTGTCGCGAGCGAGAACGCGCCATGTAAGCGTAATTTGAGCGAAGTAACGTTAACGTGCCGTTAACGCGATATGGTCCTGGGACCGCTGTACTAATCGACGTTACAAAAGCATCGTATGGAAGCGAGGGTAACGGCGTTAATTGGACATTATCGCAGATTAATCGGCGGCTTTCCCCGGGTCCTGTAAGGTGCGATAGAGAGATCGGCCCAGTGAAAGCGAGCGGGTAAATTATCGTCGGGTATAACGCCATTTTTGACAAACTGCCGGGTTATTTGTGCGATTGAATCTGACAGCGTCGTTGTCGCCTCTGAAATCAAGTTTTCAAGTTTTCAAGTACTTACACGGAAAAAAATGTTGAATTAATCAAATATCTGATCGAATATGAACGATCCAGAAATTCCGATTGAAATAACCCGAATTCTATTTAAGGTAACAAGATTTTTAGTTGACTTAAACAAAATTCGGGTTACTTCAATCGGAATTTCTGGATCGTTCATATTCGACCAGATACTTGGTTAATTCAAGTAAATCTTTTTTTTCGTGTAGGGGAGGTTTTAGTTGGCTCAAGGCTGCCAGGACAAGATGGCCACGTTGCAAATAGGATTGTTACGGGTATAAACACATAGAGGAAAATTGTTCCTATCATTTTTATGCAGATTTTTCGGCCAGTCGGATGTCCAATTGTGGTGAAAATTTCTCGAGTATTATCATTGGTGTACGATTGTAAAACAGTTCGCAATCACAATAATTAGTTATCTGAGAAGTTTTAACTCCGAAATTCTGAAAAATGTATTATCTGGTCGAAGCATGATACAAACTGTTTATCCAAGAACGAAAAATCACGATGACACCAAAATGACGAGAAAATGATTAAAAACTCATATTTCAATAACAATTCGGTCACTTTCTCGTCATTTTGACGTCATGATTTTCTGTTCTACTTAAGTATATATTTTAAGCATTTTGATTAGAAATATGTGTCTGTGCTCTTTCAACGCAAAAGGGACATTCATACGATTTCTAAGAAATTATAAAGTTTTATGCAAGACTGCATAAAAGTACTGCATCTGATTTTAATAAGGCGATACTTTATAGCCTTCGCGCAGTATTAATTCGTGTAGTATATTCATTACTATCAAACAAGAATATCATAGTAATAATGTTATTGGCTAATGAGAAAAAGAAAAAGTTTTTGTCTCATTGCCGAGATGTAACGCGAACTGCCACTAACGATCCTGACGAATGTTTATGACATTTGCTAATTTAGATTGAATTGCCGAGATGCAATTATACGCCCGTTGAGCAATTCGGAATGAGTTTCTCTTCTTGCGTAAAACCGTCGTGAAATTTCAGATTTCTTGCGCAAGACGTTTTCATTAACGCCGCTGTGATTGCACGTAATTACGGACGAGTTTACGTTACGTGCTTGATAAGTTCACCTTATGTAACTCGTTGGCTAGCTTAACTGAGCCACGCACTCCTCTCGTTGAATTTCACCAGCGGCGGGCGGGTAGAAAAATAGAAAAAAAAACACGGGAGATATTCTCCTACCATAATTGCGCACTTTCAAGAAAATACGTGTACTTGGCAAAACGTAGAACGCTTGTTATGAGAGCAATCAGTGATAAAAAAAAACAGCTTTCGGTAAATAGATCTCTCGGAGTAGAATATAATAAGGGGACTCACTGTTCTGTTAATTTTATATAAGCTTTATATAAGCATAAGTCGGTATACGACGAGTCTTTCTCTAATTTATGATAAGCACACTTTTGAGACTATTATCAGAAAAGAGAGCATCTTTCGTCGAAGATAACCGTTGCCTAAAAGAAGGAAAGTTAACTGAATAATTGCTTTTCTTAGCAGCGCAGACTGATGTTCTTTTCCATGCGAGTTCAAGGAAGAAGAGCAATTTCGAATCGATCGGGGAAACGCGTGTGATGTAACAGACGAAAACTTACGGTTATTATCCCGCGTGAAGATTGAGGAAGGGCGGCAAGTGACCAGATATAACGTCGGCATAGGAAGAATACACTCCTGTAGGAGATTCGTTTCACGTTGTCCTGGAAAATCGCACCTGGCAACGACAACATGATCGACCCTCTTCTTCTTCTCTTTTCTTCTTCTCGTATAGTTTATCTAAGAAAGCGACGTTTCACGCTCGATTTGCTCGCGACCCTTCTCGGGGAGAAGCCACTCACGAAAATCAACCTGCACGTCCGTCCCGGGTGATATAAGGTAGAACATTGTTTTACCAGCAAATCGTGGAACAGTTTTTTTTCCACGGGGGTTAACCCACGAGTTCACTTGGGACTCTCTCGGAGCTTTCTTTCCGGATTTTTTACACCGAACCGGCCCGAGAGAGCATTCAGGCATGATCCTATTACGTAATCTATACTGTGTACGACTCTTGCTCGCCTCCTTTTTCTTCGTAACATTGTGTGTTAGTGTTCCTTTATCCGCTTGCGCGACCACCGTGTGGAGTCTCGCATCACCACGTGATGCCGAAAGTAACCAGCGTCGTTTACCCTTCGGTTTATTCTCGCGAATCGCGCTCATAGGGCCGTCGAATTTTATTGTTGAAAAAAAGTCAACGCCGGATGGGAAAACGGCGGAAACTGTTATTTAATCTCGATGACGCAACTACTTGCGCCGGACAGAGTGAAATATTTTATACGGACGCGCGGAATATTTGACGTTTATAATAATTGTTATTTTTCTTTTTGTTGCAGATCCGAGCTCTCTCCGGGGAAGCATTCTGCGCGTCCTGCATTTGCAAGTAAGTTTGCAAACCATCGAAATAAACGTAGGTAAAATGTCGCAGAGAGAATTATAAAATGACGTATAAATATCAGCGAGTTTAATGCGAAGTCCATCAATTAGTATTCCAGAAAATATGCATATGTAGGTGAAAATTTGACAGCAACTAGTTCACTTGTAAAAATTGCATTCTTCATGAGTGATTTATGAGTGATTCATACTCGTATTTATCACAAAATGAAAATACAAAAGATATACGCGAAAAAATTTAAAAATTCACTCTAAATGCTACACTGAGAAAAATTTCAATCGGATAAATCAATTAAGTAATGTATCCGATTGTTAATTTTGCTATCCAATCAAGTGATAGATGCTTTTATCAGATACAATGCGGTTACCGATGGGAAGTTAGTCGCCTTTTGTATATCCGTTATAAATTTTTATCGGATGTGGAACACGATTTCATCGGATAAAATAATGATAAAATCGGATGTTGCATATGATTGGATAAAAAGAAAACAGTCGCGGAATATTCGATTGTATATTAAGGTAAATGTACCAATGTGCGGGCATCTAATTCCGGACACTCTTATTATTTCTCTGAATATTTCTCTTATTATTTCTCTGAATATTTCTCTAAATATTTCATCTTTCAACGTACACTAAATATAAATATTAAATGTATGTATACTAATATGTATGTATTGTACATTGAAAGTTGTAATATTCATATTCAAATATAAAAATAATAACAATGTTCGAAGATAAGTACATGTCTGGGTATTGGTACATTTACCTTATCCGACGATAATAACAATAACCGATAAGATTGGCATAACACGTTCATTGGTCAGAACGATCTTTGATAGTTCGAAAACGTCTTTTGTTTCTCTGCATAATCGATCTTCATTGAAATTTATATCATTTGTGCAACATATCGGCTCACTATAAATGACGAGATACGTAATGTGTTACAAGAAATAAATATTGAAGAGGAGGTTATTAAACTATAATAATAAGTAAGAGTACTTAATAGGTACACTTAATAAGTACACTTAATAGGTATACTTAATAAATAAGAGTACTTAATTCTTAAAGCTGAATTTAATATTATAAAGCTCGTCTATGCTAGAAGTCGTAAAATCATGAAGAGTACAGAGTCATATTCGTGATAAGATTATGTTCACTCAATAAGGTTATATTCTGGTCAATCAGGACAGTCGTAGTTACACGGATATTTATGGGAATATCCGTTTGGATATGTCCGATTACTTTTTGTATCGGATATATAATTTTTGTGTCGGATATACCTATTTGTTTCTTTTGCATTGGATACTCCGATTAGATATAACTGGATATTTTTCTCAGTGTACGCGATGTAAAATGCGATATGGAAGTTTGAGTGTAATATCTTTAATATATAAATTTCTAATAAATTTTTAATAAATTTATAAATTGTTGCGTCAATATAATAAAAAAATTTACAATATCGTGCGATGTGAACTTAATAATTAATTTAATGCAGTATATTTGCTTCATTAATATAATAAAAAAAAATGATAAAATTTCCATCATCGATTCACGTCGCAATAATCATGAAAGTCTGTCTAATTAATTTGCCACTGATAGCGCGCGATATTGTCCCTCTGAAGACGACTTATTGCAACTGATTGAAACAGAGCTAGTTTGTATCGAGAATTTGCATTTTTATCGATCTTTCTATCGTTTGACATTTACTTCGTGTAAACGGCACGTGTCCGTATCACGTGCCATTTGCATCGTGGCAATTTGTTCAGGCGTTCGATCGCATCCATTCTCCTACCTACGCGTGCTCGCCCCTACCTCGAATCGCTGTATAGCTGTTTAAGAACCGACACGATGTTACATTTCATCCCTCAAAAGTCTCTGTCACTAAACATGCATTCATAACAATTGCATTCTTTCGTCGCTTGAATAAACTTCCCTAATTGTTACCACGACAGACAATCGTTGATGGGATGTTTAGGAGTTTTAGTTACACTTGTGGGGCGAATAGGAGAGACCGGAGCTATTTGGCCATCGGGATAAGTCGGCAAAGCTGATTTTTACTTATTTCTTATACTTTTTTTACTACTTTACTATTACTTATTTCTAATAAAACTTATTTCTACTGTTCTCTAACAGATTTCAAAATCAAGCAAGCAGAGATTTCAAAGCTATCTTTGACACGTTCAAAAATTTTGCTTGCTTAATTTTGTAACGTATTAGAAAATATTAGAAATAACAGATTTTATCAATTTATCTCGATAATCAACTGGCCCCGGTTTCCCCAATACGGTATTGAATCGATTCGTTAAATTCATATCTTGCACACACACATACACAATGACGTACGTTCTTTATTATTTCTCAATTTAATATTTCATTATACTGACGCGGCGAGAAATTTGTTAGAACTTACTTTCAGATTTTCACATCACATTCTACATAACATATTGTTTTCAGTAAATTCTGATGGTCCTTTTTATATTTCTATTCCATTAAATATATTGAGTCGAAATTTTGGTGCTACTTTGACGCTCTTAAAGATAGTTTGCGCCTACTTAGACGGTTTATAGCCTAGGTAAAATCTACTTTGACGATATTGATACTTATTAATTTCTCTTTTGAATCTTTAACTCTATCTTGTCAAAATTTTTACGCTACTTTGACGCTCTTAAAAATAATTTGAATCTACTTAGATAACCTATAACCTAGGTGAAACCAATTTTGACGATATTGACACTCATTTCCGAGTCGAAATTTTGACCCTATGTTAAACCTTGAATTCTATAAAATACATATATTCTATGTATCTATACATATATTCTATGTCATAAGTATCAAAATACGTACACATCCGTCACACGCTGTGCCAAATACAACTTTCTGCGTTCGTGGCAATGGAATTACCGGCTTCCGTGCGATTTGGGTGCGACGACATTGTCTGTGTTTGCAAACTGCATGAATAATAGAAACAGTATGTAGGAGCTAAAGCTTTAATAGAGGCAACTGAACCTACTTTACTTCCTAAGATCCTACTATTATACAATCTCCTTTGATGCTAAAGAAAGCGAAAGCGAAAATTTCAGACATTATTAGGGTCAAAGTACCAGTAAATTATATCATTAAAATTAAACCTACTTTGCTATCTTAGCTCCTACTGCGGTGTAGAGTTTAAGGTTCAACATAGGCTCAAAATTTCGACTCCGGATAAGTGCCATGTGAAACACTCGTGAGGGATACAACTTTTACACATATATGTTGCATCAAATTTATTAACAGATCTTAGATTTTCATATTTTATACGACATATTGTCTTGAGTAAATTCTGATAATTTCCTTCGTGTTTCAAACGCGTCGGAGCGTCATGAAGCACTCATAACGGAGCACACATACGGAACGGAGTTTTACATATCGGCAAGCAAAAAGTTGCTGCCACATTTACGTACACGTTTATATCTGGGCAATTTCGAATCCGCGTGTATAAACTCGCGCTCGAAAATCGAGCTCGCTGGGCGCTCTCGCGACGTTTACTCGTCGAATAGGAAACGAGGAAATATTCCTTTCATCCGGTGAAATAAAAGCCGCAAGCAAATGTTTGCGTTTCTCGAAGTTGAGTCCGTCGTTCCATATGCATCTGCGAAGTGTAGGCGTCGTTGGTCGATTCGGTCGATTTTTTTGAATTGCAATTGAATCGCACGGATAGGATATCCTTGCTTTTAAAAACCACGCTTCGTCGGCCGCGAACCAAGACGCGGCGGGCCGTGAGGAACGCATGTAGGATGCATTAGAATATGCAACGAAAGCAGCCGAGCGTGTCTGGGAATTTCAATTTAGAAAATTGTGCCGCCACACGACCGTGACATTCTCATCAGGCCTGATGGATGGCTATTATTTTATTGCATCTTATTCCGCAGCACAATTTGACATCAATGGAACATGTGCGAGGCGCGCGTTGAGCAAGACTTTTTAATGTCGTTACCGCATGTGCGTTTGCGAAATGAACATCTCATCCTCTTTGTATTGAGTCTGCACGATGTTCTCATTTGCGATGTGATCCTCTCGATGAAGCTGGAATTTCTTACGCTCGCACAGCTTTCCGCGTTCACAAATTTACCGATACGTTCACCCCCGAGGAATACCGATTGCCAATCCATCAATACAGTACGAATTGTGTTTGTAGCGATTTGGGGGAAAAAAGGCATTCGTTTAAATTGCGAGTCTCAGATCTTCGATCATGCACGGGGAAAAAGGGTTTGGTTGGATTAAGTAGATTTCTGGTAAAGTATGAACGACCTAGAAATGCCGGTTGAAATTGCCAGAATTTTTTGGTCTGTTCATATTGCATCAGAGATTGGTTAGTTCGACTAAAGTTGTTTTCTCCGTGTATACGTCACGATTGAACATTTCCTCAACTAATTTCTTCGGGCTCACGAGATATTTTCGAATGAATCTGCGACTGACGTTGCTCTTTAGCAAAGATCCACGAAACTGAGAACTTTAAATAGTCAAGATAACTTTGCGCGCTGATAATAAGAGGACGCTCCAAAGAGCTGGAGCTTCAGAAATGCATCAGGCTGGTGTAAAAGAGATTTGCCATTTTTTCTCGCAGGAAGTTTAGGAAAATAGAGAGTTCATGTCTAAAACATATCGATGTTGTTTATTTTATTCGTAAACATGATCGACCCTTCGAAATCGAATCATTTTGTTTTCTATTTTATTTGCACGAAGTAAAAAGGATTGGTTTGATTAATGTAACCGTGAACGAACCAGACGCGTTTTGGTCGTAGGAAACAGAAATTCTATTTTCTCCGTGAGAACGAACACGACAACCCTTTGCGCCAATACATCAAAAGCGAAACTTTCGTTTTGATGAACGTCAAATCGACTTTGAGTTTCTTCCAGGAGTAATTGCGAAGGAACGTAACGCGGGGAACTGTATCAAAAAGACTCTTGACACTTTGCTTACTTCTTATTTGGACCTGCTATATTATTTAC